GCATGTTGGTAGCGTTGTTATAGCCGTCGACGGCTGGAATCTTGCGCCGCTGCAGCTCAAAGGCAAAGTGCTGATTGAGTCGGATGCACAACAAGACGCCGAGGCAGTCGTATGTCTCGCCGATGAGCCCACGCGTCAGCGTCTGGCCGAGCTGGAAGGTCGGCTCAAAGGTGTAGTTAAAGTGCCGCGCAATGGTGGAGAAGGACAGAGCAGGTGAGAAAAAGGATGCCATAAACGAGTATTCGGCCGTGGCATTGTCGACGAGCGCGAGGTTGAAGTGGCGGAAAGGCACTTCGAGGTAGTGCGTCGACTTGTCGTCCTCGGCCATGTACGAGGACAAGGCCACCTGGTTAGGGCCCTTGAGGAGATCGATGCGCCGGCCAAGGCTGAAAGCGTCGTGTGGCGGGCCGCTCACCTTGGCGGCGCTTCTCCGTGACAGATGGTCGTCGTGGCCCAAAACGTCGTTTTTATCCAATATGTGCATCTTGAGTTTCTCGAGCGATTTGGCGTACCGGGCGAACTGGTTGCTGTAGTACCACCTCATGGTGTTCATGTATGCCAGGCAGATTTCGTCGGCAAGGACTGCGTGGTGTTTATGCAGAAAGGTGAAAAGGTCTTTGAACTTGATGAAGCTTTGCTGCTGGATGATTTGCGCATTGATGTGAGGGGACCGCAGCGCCTTGATCTGGGCCACGAGAAAGTCTCGAATTCGCTCGATGGCCTGGCGAGCGCGATGTTACTAAGTGCAAATGTAGGGGTCTCTCGGTAGAAATTGGGCTACAGCGACCTACCTTGAGAACCAGCTTGTCCAACAGCGGTAAAAGATCTGTGGCGGCCTTGATGAGATTTGAGCCCTGCTGCCTATCACCCGGTTGCTGAATGTTCGTAGACGAGCGCAGTGACGCTGTCCGCTTGTCCACTTCCTTAAGGCATTGGACCCACTGTTCGTCAATGTGGCCGTCCACGATCTTGTGAACCAGGTCGGGTGACACGCTCAGGTCCTCTACTGCGGGGAAGAGACCCTTTTCGACTGCTTTTCGGTTTTCAAGGCGAACGTTGAGCGCCGTGGACCGGGATTGCAGATTCTCAATGTCGGCGGACACCAGGCCGAGGTCGTTTCGGAAGCTGGTCAAATTGGTCTCGACGGAGTTTAATATCTCGTCGCAGGCGCGGATAGACTTGTGTAAATCTTCGAGCTTCGCTTGGTCTTTGTCCACTAATGATCGTACAGAAACGTTAGCACATATTAAGAGGACACCGCACCGAGTAAAAGATGGGCAATTGCACATACAATCCTCGGACGTGCGAGATGCTTGCAGACTTCCCCGGCGCTTCACCGGGACCTCCCAGGCAATTTCCCGTAACGTCAAACCAGAAAAGTCAAAGTCTGCCTCGAGGTCCTCGTCTGTAATAATCACTTCGTCTTGGCTCTCCGCCGGGTCTTCTACTCCACTGTCCTTTGGAGACGCGCCGATGAGCCTTCCTAACAGTGCGAGGGCTGCCGTGTCTTGCGCTCTGGGGTCCCCCGTCACGGACTTTGCCGATGTGGACTGCTTCAAAGAGGATCCGTTCTGCCTCCGAGAGGCAAGCAGCGAGGTTGTCGAGTCGTTGGAGACGAGCGAGAGCGACGAGCCCCGGGCTGGCCGTTGTGATGTCATGTATGGTCCTCGACTCGCACTCGATGGCCGTCGCGGGAGGGGCGATCCGGATCGGTTACCATTGCTCTGCGGAGAGGCCCCACCACCGGCATGGCCTAGACGGTCTAGCCACATGGCGAGAGCGAGGCTGGCGGCCGGGCTCGGAGCGACCGCAGACGAGTAGGGGGACGTCGAGGAAAAGGAGACCTGTTGCTTCGAGAGGCGCGATGCTCACGCCTAGCGCCCGTCGCAGCAACAAACAGCAATCGAGCCCATCCACAGTAGCGGCTTATTGCCTCTGAATGCACAAAGTGGCGTCAGAAGGCGTCAAAAGGTGGGAGTCGTGTTCTCGCGCCGCCGCCGTATATCGTCGTCGTGTTCTGTCGTCTAGGTGCTGTTGTGTTTGATAGCAGGTGTCTTCAGCAGCATCAGGCACTCTGTGTCGTATGGAGCTCCAATAGGGGACTAGAGCGCCCCTGCGCCAGAGCTCAGGCTGTCTCGGCGGCGCTGCAACCGTCGAGTCGACATGTCGGTCTTAACACGGATTACATAAGGGCATGTAGATTTGCTCCACTTTTTTGTCAATATGGATTACTTATGTAATAGCGCGTAATTCGTACCACTTGCACCGTTCCAAGCCTGCTTGAGACAGAGACCAAGTTGTGCTGCCTTGACAGGTTGCGAACCAGTGCATTGTGGCTTTCGTTGTCGTGGGCGCCGGCTCGACATCCTGACCGCGGCCCATTCCAACACGAAAGTGTATCGAGGCTGCTTACTCTCGAGCAACTGTATGACTCTTTCTAGGCAGTTTGTCTAGTTTTAGGCGTGGCGATGAATACATCGAACAGTCCGACTAAAGCTAAGAAACGGTTAACACAAGAGAGGCTGCCAAGTCCCAGGCAAGGCCGGACGTCAAGATTTCCGACACTGAGGAACGCAGACACCTTCATTAGCTAGATCTGATTGGCGCCCTCATCGCCCTCTGTTTCTGCGCTTGCTAAACTCGGTTGTTGCCCAGTACAGTGCTTCTGTCTAGGCCGCTCTTGCCAGTACCTGATCTCCTATGGAGGTGTTCTTGCCATCTTGTTGCCTCCCCACTGTCGAAAAAAATAGCCTGTAAAAAAAAAATACAAACCCACAGAAAACAGTCCTTCACCCCGCCCCTCTTTCTTAAAATTTCCTAGGAAACCATTCGCTCTTTCCCCTCCACCCTATATTTTCCTTGCCTTCCCCCGACTTCCCTCACTCAATATTTTTCTTCTCCTTCTCCGTGGCTTGAACATTGCTAGTTGGTTCAAACACAAAACTTTTCCACCTCGCCCTCATCACCACTGTCCATCTTTCTTTCGTCGTCAACAATCCTTTTTTCCTCAACCCAGTCAAAATGGCGGACGATTCTCAGGTAAGAAGTGCAGCATGTGGCTACTCGTGACCCAAGGTACACTGCCGAAAAGGGCGAAAGGAGGAGAGAGAGAAATCGAGAAAATCATCACCCCGCAATCGCGAAAATCGCAGAGGCAGAGGCCCCTCTTCCGATTGTCCATGTTTTTCTGCTTCTGCAGCGCCCAAATCTCGACAATGGGCGCTCTTGTGTCTTTGTTTCACATATTTGTTGGCTTTGATGCGAAGGACATGCAGCTCGACCGCAGCAAAGCCTCGTATCACAACCAGTCGACGGACCCAACTTGCGCCCTCTCGCCACCCAAGACAGTTCTCGATCGAATGCTACTGTTACGATTGTTTCTCTCTCTATATTTTCTACTCTCTCCTACTCTCTGTGCTTTTTTGGCTGTTCGCTTGGCTGCGGTGGCCGAAAACAATAATGTATGCGAGTGATTCCATATATTAACATGTTACCGTCCAGCATGAGCACACCTTCGACTCGGCCGATGCCGGTGCTTCGGCCACTTTCCCGATGCAGTGCTCGGCCCTGAGAAAGAACGGCTTCGTCGTCATCAAGGGCCGTCCCTGCAAGATCGTGGACATGTCAACCTCCAAGACCGGCAAGCACGGTCACGCCAAGGTCCACCTTGTCGCCATTGACATCTTCACTGGCAAGAAGCTTGAGGAGCTGTGCCCGTCCACCCACAACATGGACGTCCCCAATGTCAAGCGTAGCGAGTACCAGCTGGTTAGTATTATCTTTTCGCCCTGCCATGAGACCATGAGACCACGAGGCCACGAGGACCGTCTCAATACGATTACCTGCTAACGCATGCCGCACAGCTCGACATCTCGGACGACGGTTTCCTCTCGCTGATGAACGACGATGGTGACACCAAGGACGACGTCAAGCTGCCCGAAGGCGAGGTTGGTGAGAAGATCACCAAGCTCTTCAAGACTGAGGAGAAGGATACCAGTATGTTATATTCCCACCCGATGCATGTGGATCACAAGCACACACAGATGCGCCTATGGACCGAAAACTAACATGTCCTAGACGTCACCATTCTTACCGCCATGGGTGAGGAGGCTGCCATTGACGCCAAGGAGGCTGCCCGCTCGTAAAAAGTTTTTGCCATGATTATTGCTTTTTTTCTTGCCTCGTTGCTGCTGATTGTGTCGTTCTGGTTGGAGTCGTTGCTTGTCGGGCAGGACACGATTCCTTGTGATTGCGTGATTCCTGATAATGGCACAGCATTGGTCTTTGTTCCGATTCTGCATGGCAAGCGGACGAAGCCCCTGGGGGCGTTGGTTTCTGGAGGACTCGGAATCTATAACGGGGAACCACTATGGGCGCCACGGACATATGTCGTATATTTCATATAACTGTGCCCTAGGTCTCTCTGTCAGATCCCTCTCTTGGTTTCTGTTTATGACAGACATGAGCTGCTGAATTTTTTTTCTCGAACAAAACACCGTCATTAGAGCGGCGATGAAGAATATCTAAAGCGGAATAGAAAATTACGACCAAGGCAAGCCTGGATATTATTATACAAATATGAGTGAATGACGGAATCTCTCCCGCTTTACGTGAATGTAGCTGCAAGTGAATGAACAGAAGTCTAGAAGCAGGACGATTTGGTTGCATTGGCCTCACAGTGGTTCGCGATGCTGCCTATTTTTGGATAGACGGCTGTTAGCAAAAAAATTGTTACTACAGCGTAGACTCCACTATTCTTACGACGACATGCCATCAAACAACAGGCGACGTCCAAACTCACCTGTCTTTCGTCCCAACTCTGTGAACGCGAACACCGTTGCGCTCGAATAAGATTTGGGACGATACATATTGCGCTCCGCTCTTAGTTGCATGGTCATAACAGCGAAATGGTTGTTTTCATTCTCCGCAGAGCGATAACCACAACGAAACGGCCCCCGTTATTGACATCGCACAGCCATTGACGGCAAACCATCTGCCACATGCTCCTTGCTCTCCGTTTCTTTGACGGAGTATGGATCTCGCCTCGGGCCATCGCGATCTGCGGCGCTTTCGCCCAGGTGACTCATGTGACGAGTGCAATGCGCGCCGCTGGTACAGCGACAGCGGCTTCCACTACTGTGAGAACGGTCATCTGATTGAAGTATGCTTTCTCCTTTTCGTTACCTTTACATTGTTCTTTATATCGTGGCCGAAGAAGCTGGAGCTAACACGCACTCGCAGTCTTATGTTCCCACTGAGCATGAAGAAGAAGGAAACTACGGTAACCGTGGACATACCGCCCGCAGACAAAAGGAGGTCCGCGAGCGTGAGGCCCGCCATCTATCCGGCATCGAAGCGCGCGAGCTGTTTCTCGAGTGCCTGCAACTCCTATTGCGCAAGCAAGTGGTTTGGCTACAACAGCACGAGCGGCAGCTCCGAGGTGATGGCGAAGCGTCCACATCTGCGCAGTCTCCCATGGCAGGCCTGGAGTCGGCTGTGCGCGATCTCTGGGACCTGCGCATCCGCTATTTTCACGGTCTTACCGTGACGGCACTGGCAGATGCTGACCCGCGGAATCATGGAAGCCGCAGCTTGAGTCGCAGCCGTAGCCGGAGCCAGAGCCGGGCCACAAACGGAACACAGTCTGGGTCCGAGTCAGACGGCCGGACAGCCTACAGCTCGCAGCAAGCAAGCGACACAGAAGGCGGCTATACCAGCGGCGGCAGCCGCCTGTCACAACGGCGGGCACGATCGAGATCTGCACGCAAATGGCAATCTGGCCCAGATGAACGATGGAATGTGCCTGGCGTCATCGAGACGCTGGCGATCTGCTACCTTGGCGGTGTATTATTACAACTTCCGTTCCGCATCGGCGATTTTTACCGGTGGGCTAGAAACGACAAGATACCGTTCCTAGATGCAGTAAGATTTTGAGCCGCTCCCTGGTCTAATACGGGCGCAACAAGACTACCTTGCTAACAGAAAACAGACCAAGCACATTCCCAAGATCATGCGTGATCGACTCCCTCCGAGCTACCTCAGCGCCCTGACCACAAAGCTGCCCTCTCTTGTCCGCGGCGAGCTGCACGAGGCAGTGGTGAATCTTGTGAAAGGATTTAGGCTCAACAATGAGTTGCACTTCCCAGGACTAAACGTGCCACCCATTCTGTGGAAGTGGACAAGAGACCTCGGTCTCCCAAGTAAGCTTGCGTCTCGATTGAATTTGATGGGTGAAGAAATGCTAACAGACGCAGTTGATGTATACACGGGGGTCCTGGAGTTGTCTCGCTTGTCCAGGACAGACTATTGTTACCCACTAGAGCGACCCAGGCTCTATTTGGTCGACCACCCAGACGTCTTCCTACTATCAACAATGATCCTGGTCACGAAGCTTTTGTACCCATTTAACAATGTGGACGATGCGCACGTTAGTGGCAGCCGACAACTCCACAGCAATGAAGACGGTTCCACCAAAAGAGAAGTCTATGCCGACGACGAGCGTACCAGACCCCAGCATATCTTGATGGACTGGAGGAAATGGCAGGCCGTCTTCAACGCGTCGCCAAAGCGGCTGCCAGTAGCACGACAACTAGAACGCCACGGTATTTCCAAGTTGCGAGCACGAGACGCGTGGAGCTTGACAGAGGACCAGATTGACGACTACCTGGACTGGCACCAGCAGTATCGGTTAACCGAGAAAGATGGTGCGTCCTTGAAACCAGGTCAAGATTTATCACGAAGAGAAATGAAACTTCACTAAACACATCACAGATCCACGCCACATGTTACGCCTATTTCCCTTGCAAGAAATAAGGCCACGAACACCCTTTGCAGATGAACCCGAAGAAGCGTTGGACAGTCGATATCGACTGGTACAGGAAACCTGCCTCGTGATCCCCAGCGTTAACGAAGAACAGACGTCCCAGAAAGTAAAGGGAAAGCGACCAGTACCCATCAAAGACGAACCTACTTTACAACACCTTCACGACCACCCTATAAATAGATACCGGGAAGAGTCTGACCTTTCCGAAGCAGCTCACGCATTTTACAGCAGAGCAGGTGAGCATGCACAACCTGGCGCGGTCAGGAAAATAGTGTTAAACAGGCAACTAACACTCCTGGCGTAGCCAACCTGGCTGGAATCACTGTACAAGCACTCGTCCGCGAAGTGAGTCGACTAGAGAGACGCTGGATGACGTGGGATGCGAACCAAGCCAAGAGATCGTCGAATCAGTTGCATGGAGATAGGACAGACGACAGCGCGGAGGAAGATGTCACAATGGTCGTTGACGACGACGAAGGCGACGGAGATGGTGACGGAGAGCAATATTCTCAGTCATTTGCACACCTTTATATGCCAAGTAGTCCTCCAGGATAGGCAATACCCCCACTCCTGCTTGCATCATCCTTCGTCTCCGGTCTTTGGTGATGTTCAGGTCGAGGTAGTTGTCCAAGAGGTTGAAAGCTAGGGAAGGTAGCCGTACGCTTGACTGATTCGTCAGTTTGATGTGGATCCACTTTCCACGCACGTGATAGGGTTTTGCAGTCAAAGCTCTAAAGTGCCTGGGTCTGCGCTAGCCCGCTCTTGGCTTTCCACGCTCTTTCCCTCAAAAATCTTCGGGAGGCGGGGCAATTATTTTCCACTCTTAGTTTTTTGCCTGCACTATTACCGATTTTGGTGTGTCCCGCACCAATTTTTGCGTAGGATGGTGCGTCTGCATGATCTTTTCGTGGATTTTTGTTCCCGTTCTTTTCCTCTATCTACGAACCTCAACCATAGATAACTTCACGACAGTATCGTCAAGAGTACGTTTTGCCGGTAGTTTGAGTCGATGATGTTGTTGGACAGTCCTGGGAATGTCTTACTAACTTTCTTCTTTCTTCCGCTGCTGCAGTGCAGATGTAAGGCCCAGATTCCACCTCTTCCGCTGTCCGCCAGATCGATCTCGAAATGTCCGTCTCTTGTTGCCGAACGTCGGTCGCCGAACGTCCCACGCCCGCCATCGCATGGTCCTCCTTCCCCGTCTCCTTTCGTTTGCGAACCCGACGACTTCAAACTACCCAGTAGAACCGCCGACGTCGCGCCCGGAAGTTTCGAGATTCGAGCGAGGAGCAACCAACGACAGGCGATGGATGTACGGCCGCCGCAACGCATAGACGACATCGACGACATGGAGGAGAACATCTCAGCGTTATGAATTGCAGAAGCGCCACCGTGCAGCACAGTTACTAACGTCAACCCGCAATACAGCTTCGTGAAGACCCTTACCGGCAAGACCATCACCTTGGAGGTCGAGTCTTCGGACACGATCGACAATGTCAAGTCCAAGATCCAGGACAAGGAGGGCATTCCCCCAGACCAGCAGCGCCTGATTTTCGCGGGCAAGCAGCTGGAGGACGGCCGCACTCTGTCGGACTACAACATCCAAAAGGAGTCCACTCTGCACCTGGTTCTCCGCCTGCGCGGTGGTATCATCGAGCCCTCGCTGAAGGCCCTGGCCAGCAAGTTCAACTGCGACAAGATGATCTGCCGCAAGTGCTACGTACGTTTTGGATACCACTAGCTGATTCACGCTGCGGTGAACCTGGAAAGCGACAACCGTCGTCAACCAACGTTCCGATATTATGAAGGCGGAACTCATTACTGACAATGACATCTTCAGGCCCGCCTGCCCCCCCGTGCCACCAACTGCCGTAAGCGCAAGTGCGGTCACACGAACCAGCTCCGCCCCAAGAAGAAGCTCAAATAGACAACTCGCCCCTCGCCTCGGCAGTGGGCAGTGTGTTGTTGTGGGGGGTGTCTGGGGAGGAGACAAAGCGGATTCCGATGCGGAGGACGAATTTCGAACGGGGAAACCTGCGGGAGACACCGGCGTCTTTTTGGGGGTTTTATGCACCTGGTTTTTTTTCCTACAAGTTTTATAAAAAATGGGAAAAAGCAAAATTCATCTACGAAGTCAAAAAGAAACAAAAAAAAACATTGAAAAGACCCCAACGCGAATTGTGATGTACTATATGTTTGTAACGTGACGAACCATACGATAATCGGCATCTTGTCAGATACTGGCCTGTCTCATTCTGCCTTTGTGCGACGTAATTACAACAGCCAAATGCAAATGCGAGGTCAGCCGTGTCTTGCAGATGACTAAGCATGTCCCAGCTCCCCTAATGGTACAGAAGTATAGATGCCGCCATAGCGAGTTCTAATAGGGGGCTCTCCACGCAAAACAGGCAACTAGTTAAGCTCCACCACCAGAAGCCAACGCGACGTCAGCTTCGTATCCCTTTACGCCAAAGACCCAACACGCCTGCATCGAGTAAACCGACGGCATCACCACCACCCACACACCTTCCACCTTGCAACGAGAGCATATCGTTATCTGAAAGGACAGAAGCATACACCAGCCGTGCAAAATGTCGAATGCAGGCTACGATGCGGTCGTCGACGTCGACGATGAGGTGCGTTCCACTCTGTTGCAATTGGACAGATCGATCGCAAAGACGACAGACGCTGCTTGCCGCATACAATGCGCCTGTTCTAGTCTTGACTGTGCGCAATACTGACCCTCATTTTCCTTGGCAATCAGGGCGACCTCGGCCACACCGACCTTCGCGAAGACCTCGAGTTCCACAACTCAAACTTTAACGACTCAATACCGGGTGGCCGTAAGGGCATCAACAGCGGCGGCCTGCCACCACCAGTGACTGCGTCAGGCAGTGGCAGCGGCAGCGCAGCTGGCGGCAAGCGGTTCCTGTGGACGCTGTCATTCTACGCGCAGTTCTTTGACGTCGATACGTCGGCTGTGCTGACACGGTGCTGGGCTGCGCTCTTCCCGCGTGCCAACTTCCTTGACGTGCTGGAGGGCAACGCAGATCTGTACGGTCCCTTCTGGATTGCGACCACAGTTGTTTTTATCCTGTTCTTGAGCGGTACAATCAGCCAGTACCTCGCGACGACGGGCACGGAGCCGTTTGCCTACGACTTTACTCTTCTGAGTGGTGAGTCCCCTCCCTTCGAGGTATTTGCAACTGTCGCCCTCTTTGCTAACATAATGGCCGCAGGTGCTGCTGGCCTGATCTACGGCTATACGCTCGTCATCCCCGTCATCCTCTTCCTCGCCCTGCGCTACTTTGGCTCCGAGTCTGCCAACCTGCTCGAGTGCTGGGCCCTCTACGGCTACGGCAACCTGATCTGGATCCCCGTCGCACTGATCGGCTGGTCGCACATTGACATTCTTAACTGGGTGTTTGTTGCTGTCGGCTTTGGCCTGTCCATCATGTTCCTGCTGCGCAACCTGTACCCAGTGCTGTCTGCCACAGACCGGCAGACGAGCAAGATTCTGCTCGTCATTGTCGTGGTGCTGCACCTCGGCCTGGCGATCACGATCAAGTTTTTGTTCTTTGCGCACCACAGCCCCGTGGCTAAAACCCCGTCTGCACCTGTGGACGGTGGAAGCGGCGATGCTGCCCCGCCTGCGATGTGGTAAGCGGGTATCGAGACAGGTCTCCCAATGGTTTGGATATGGCCATTTGGTGACGGCCAAGAAATATACAATGGAGTGTAGAGAGACGAGGGGAGAGCCAGCTGAGCTTGCTCTACCTTCCAGTTGGCAAGTATGAATTAGTTAGAGCGGCCCATGTCTTATGTATCCCGTCTTATAATTTGCTGTTGTCTGGTAGCATTTTGGGGAGCAAAATATTGCAGGTTATTCTTTCGTGAGAAATATGCCCATCGACCACAACGGCACATTGATCTCTTCTCACAGCAGGGAGTTTTTTATCTAGCTTGTTACATGCCCAAGCTAGTGTTTGCTTTGTTTCTTCCAGGATTTGTACAATATATTAATGATGTTATTTGCCTTTTTTATTCTACAGATGGTGGCTCGTACTCAGCACGTCCATATCCAATACCGCGAAATGATTTTAACCCATTTAACGCTGTACGGTGCCGCCCTTCCCCGCCCAGTCGTTCCAGCTGCCCGGGTACTCGCCGACCTTTGTCCAGCCAGCCTCTTTGGCCAGACCGGCCGCCGCTCGGCTGCGCACACCGGCCTTGCAGTAAAAAATAACCTCGGTGTCGCGACTCGGGCGCACAAAGCCGAAGCGGTCCTCAAACTCCTCGTCGGGTAGGAAGAAGCCATCAGGCGACGTCGTGACAGGAATATTGATAGCGCCGGGAATGCGGCCCGTTTCCTTAAGCTCGCCTGGCTCACGGGTATCTGGGGCGAAGTTAGAGAAAGCGACACAAAGCGCTTCCGAGATGGGAGAGGATGGAAACAGCTAAATGTATACATACCAACGATGACAATAGGCGAGTCGGACTTCTTGACAAGTTCTTGAACCTGCGAATAGTTAGTCTCTTTGTCCCTGTACATCTCCAAATAGAAACCAGCGCATCGGCATTCCTACCTCCTCAAACGACCAAATCTTGTGGTCAGCGGATGTCGACGACGAGTAGGCGCGGCGGACAAGCAGGGACAGTGACTGGGAGGATGGCGCGGCCTTAGAAAAGCCTCTGCCAGCAAGAGTCTGTGGCTGAGAGACCACAGACACGGAGCGACGGGCAGCTGTAGTCACAATAGCAGCAGCAGGCGAGGTTGCTGCCAGGGCCGATCTCGCGACTGTCTGCCGCAGCAACGCCGAGACCGCGCGCGCGGTACGGCGGTTGACGGTGGAAGCCATTGTTGGGGTGGATGTACGTCGTAGGGTATCTGTATTTGTGTGTCGTACGTCCTCTCAAAGCGAGTGTCCAATGGAAAGCATATAGATTGACAATGCGTGGTCGGGAAAGTGCTGGTGTCGTCACAGGCCCTCTACGGGAAGAATGCCGACGGACGGTGCGCTAATCCTCGGCCTTGGATTGGGCTTTTCAGTGCTGCCCAGAACCCCACCCCTATCCACTGATGTCAGCCCCGTTCCTGTGCAGCAGTCGGAGCTTGCCGCTCAACCGTGTGCTCCGATAGGCACAAATACTGTGAAGTGCGCAACAAGCGGTAGGCCAAATGTCTTCCATAGAAAAAATAAATAAATTGGTTGGCTTCACCACCCAATGCGTCTTTTGTCTTCTTTGTCTTCTACGCAGACGCAGTGCAATCCGAAATGAAAATTAAGGGAAGAATAACGAACCGAAAAAAGGAACACAAAAAATAAAAATAAAAAGCAAACGGAAGTTAACCGATACACCCTCACCAACTACAGCGTATGTCGTTGTATATATTGATAATTTATCTTTTGTCTCACTCGAGTGTCGTCGTTTGTCTACTCCTCAGCCACCTGGATGCCCTCCCGCAGGCCCTCGACAACGAGCTCCTCTCCCGTGCACCGGCGGTAGATGTCCTTGACGTCGTCGGTGGTCGTCTCGAAGTGGCTGGTCGCATCGTAGCTCTTGGAAATGAAGATATTGTCGTTGGTGCCGTTCTCAATGGGATCATACAAAGGGATAGGAGGACCCTGCAAAGTTGACGTGTTAGCAAGTTTTTCTCGTCCGAAAAAAGGGTATGGGCTTCCCCATTCCGACGTACCATGAACTGCTCCTCGATCTTGCCTAGGCGGTCCAGGCCCGGCTGCAGCTCGAGGTGGTGGTTGGCCGAGGTCTCGGCAATGGTCGACACGATGGCGATCCAGTAGCCCTTGGGACAGACGTTGTGGGCCGACGAGACGCAAGCAATATAGATGTCTGTTTGTCAGTTCGTTGTATTTGAAGAGAGGGAGACGCAGAAAGAAAGAGAGAGAAGCGGAGGAGTGCCCACCGTTTTTCCGGCCAACCTGGCTCTGAGGAATGATCAGCTGAGCCGAGTCGGAGTCGTTGGTGTTGGCTAGCGGGTGCTTCAGGATGCAAATGGCGCGGAGCACGTGGCCCACAACCTTGACCTTGTCGGGGAAGTAGGACGGGTCGCCAATAATGAACTTGGCCTTAGTCTCAAAGTTGACCTTGTCGTCGCCGTTGGCCATGGCAGCCTTGATGCCGATCGCCTTGCCATTGTCGTATTGGATCTCGTCAATGCTGGTGTTGAGCATGTAGGTGCCGCCGTAGATGGCCGACAGGCGGGCGAAACCCTGCGGCAGCTCGCCGAGACCGTACAAGGGGTAGATGTACGGCGACTTGCCGTAACGCGCCACACTGTTGCCGTACAGGCGGATGCGCTCAATGGCCTCCGGGGCGCCACCGGGGGTGCTGATGTAGCTGTCCGTCAGATACAGGGCCATGGCGTGGCCAATAAAGTCTTTGGTGGTGGCCTCGAGGCCGAATTTGTCGTACACGTCCTTCATCGTGCACGTGTTGATTTCAAGGCCTGTTGGTGTTTGGACAACGGTGTCAGAGAAAAGAAGAAGAGAAGTAGGAGCAAGGGGAGAAAATTAGAGTACACCCGGGGATGTACGGAAGACAGGACTCACCCTTGTGCGTGGCCGGGTCGTTGGGGTCGAAGCTGCCGACCCACTCGATGAAACTCTTCATGCGGCGCTTCTCAAAGATGCCCATCAGCGGCGACCGCAGCGCCTCGGCGGCGTCGGCGGGGACCTTCGCCACCGTGGCCTTGGCGCCACTGTTCTGCTGGACGAAGCTACCGGCGATCTGGCGGAATTCGAGGTAACGGGTAACGTCAGTGGACACAAGGATATTGGTAAGCTCGCCCGACGAGATAAGGAACTTGGGAACAAGGTCGATGTTCCAGTCGTTGACACGGCCGTACTTGGTCCACGGCTCCTCGCCGCTAGCAAAGTTGCCATACTTCTTGTAGAGCTGGAGAAGATTCGTATTAGAGGAGACTGAGGCGAGACGGGAAGCGCAAAATGTAACGTGTTGAGCGATGGGCTTACCGCCTGTAGGGTCAGAGATGCAGCCTCGCTGGAATCATCGGTTAGCGATTCCGTCTCATAGCTCCGCCCGGTCGTCTCGTCATCATGTGGGGGGCAGCATACCCGCCGTAATGGTCATTTCTGTCGATGTGTAGGACCTTCTTGCCCTTGACACTCAGGACACTGTTCCATGAAAAAAGGAGGTCAGTTAGGTTCTCAGGGGTTGTTGCTCGAGTAGGCGGTGACGCACCCAGAGAGAATACACTCGGTGAGGCCTAAGCGAAACAGAAGCACACAGTTAGCCAAGCTCTTTCATGGCATTCAAGCAGTGCACAGCAAAGTGGGATCTTGTAGATTCCAGATTCTTCAAAGTTCAGAATCCCAAGCCCGTCCATCACTCACCTGTGCCCAGCACAATGACATCGTATTCCTTGGCAATCTCATCCATGGTGGTTGCAGAGAATGTTGTTGGTTGAGTATTCGGGTTACGAGGGAGAAAACGGCGGGAAACAGTGGGAAAATAGAAGGATTGGCTCGAGATAGGGAGAAGGCAGCCTGACCTGGAACAATCGGTGTAAATGCAAGAAAGATGTCACAGGATGCGGTTTGGCTTTGCTGTTGGGAACGGGAAAGGAGGGACAGTCCAGCAAGCAGCCCCGCAATTGCTATTGGGGGGCAACGTCGTCAGTTAGAGGTTACCAACTGCTACCTATCAATTCAACGGCATAGCTCCAGAACCGGGGGCCGTTCTATATTTGATCTAGCGCCTATTTCACGTGACTGTCTGTAACCAATTGACCGTTGGATGTTGATGATGTTATGTCTCTACGGAGGAATGTCGCACTCCGTACCACGTCGCATAATTATGTCGTGCAAGAGGTTTATACCAGTTTGTCTACTTTAAATCCGGGTTATCGTTGCAACTGAGTGCAACCGCCTGGCATTACGGTTATTGTTTGACGGCGTATTTGAAAGCTGGTTGTCTTGGTTCTGTGAGTCTTCTCAGTCCGTTTTGACATGATTGCAAAGAACCGCTGCCTAATGCTTGCCAAAGTACGTCGCAAGGAAGCTCCATAACAAGCCACAGTCTCAGTCCACTCGGCTACCGTCGCTCCTTCCCACCAGTCCCCATATATTGTCAATAGTAGTACATTCGCGAGAGCTAGATGTTGTATGTATGATGGTTGTTGTAGACAAAAAGGCGTGGAAAGCGAATTTCTTTTGGCCGCGGCCAAGCGTAATTCGAAGGATCTTTCCGGTTACCGTACAGGAGCCGGCTCCTGCTCGCCTGACCTGCTTTCTGCCGGCGCAGCCTCTGTATTTCCACTCTCACCAGCTGCTGCTGGCTCATCCTCCAGGTATGCTGCTGGCCGGAATGCCGGACCATTTCCGGACAGGTCAATCTCCGGGTCCGTGCGGGCCAACTCGACGGCATCCTCCCACACATAAAAGCGCTCCGTCAGCACGTGTTTGATACGTCTCATCGTTTCGCGGACCTGTCTCGTTAGTAAGTACAACTTGTAGAAAGCCCTAGTTCACGAGTCTATGCCACGGGGACAAAACTATAGACTCACCGCAGCGTCGCGCTCCTGCGCTTCAAAATTGCCAAAGCCCAGGTCAAAGTGCTTCCGCGATTCGGTCGCTGTTGCAATCCGGTTGCGCTCCTTGACGCACACCCACCACAGCCGGTGCAGGTCGTCCCAGCTTTTGCGCCGCAGCTCCTCGGCCATCCAGGGCCGTCCAAAAGCCGCATCCTTGGTCGGCGGTTGTGCCACTTGGCCGTCGTAGAAGAACTGCCATAGACCGTGTTCCGGGTCAATCTCAGGCCGCGTTGCAGCGGCCATGGCCTCCTTGGCCTCTCTGGTGCCGCCTACACCCGGCAGGGTCGAGCGGGGGAGCGGGGAGTCGGACACGGACAGGAACTGGCGAGGCCCTGTGCGGCGGATGCTCGAGACACCGCGCAGGCGGTTGTTGTCACGCGAGCGGTATTTATGGCGCTTTGCGAGGACGGGGGAGGTGGAGAAGGAGGACCGCTGTTGCATCTGCATTGCTCCTGGTGCTATTGTAGACTGTGTGCAAGATAATTTTGTCTGTGTCGTTCGTAGTGGTGGCTGCGCTTGTTGTGACGCAAAGCGTGCCGGGTGTGAACACGAGATCATGTTGTGGGCGGTGCTCCAGCCGGAGACAGCGCCGCGGACACGCGCCGCCGAGGGGCCAAGCGCAGCCATTGTGATCGAAAAAGTTGGATAGTCGTCGACAAGGATCCCAAGCTCAGGGGGGAAAGACAGTAATCGTGAAGAAGGCGGCCGAACTACTCGTTGGGGAGGGAGGAGGGTATCTGGTGCTGGAGCAGCTTTAAGACGTGAAGCTTTTCAAACAGCCGCCAATTTTTTTCCCGTTCTCCAATGGGATCCACATTTATCAACCTCGTTGCGAAAAAAGGCACTTGGGACGCTGAACTGGTTCTGTGGCTGGCTCGTGGCGGTGCAAATTTTTGAGGGACACTAAGATATCACTAATTGGTGCAACATAACACCCCATCCAAACAAGCCAACCTTCAACTCAAAATGTCGCTTTGGAGGTGAGTCGATTGTTTGTTTCCTTCATTCTTTTTTTTTTTCAAATAAAAAATAGCGATGGTTTGTCTTCCTACGAATACTAACAAAGCAGCTCCTACCGCGGTCTCTCGCCCAAGACGCGCGCTGGCGTCGGTGTTGGCATACTTCTTTGGGGCACCATCGGGCTGTACTTTTCTGATGCCGCGGGCGAACGCATAGGCATCAAGCCGACAGAAACTGACAAGGACAATCTTGCTCGGATGACACCGCGGATCCATGTGGTTGACCGGGATGACACAAAGCGGTAGCCGTGCCTGCCCTTGTCATCATGATCATGACACATGTCCATTTAAAGGAGATGCAAGGGACACATCTAATCACTGTGTATTGATATTTGACTTCATATAGCAGGAAAACGATATAAACGGCTGCCAAAATATTCTAAAATGTCTCGTCCAGAATATCCGCGTTCATCTTGACCATTGTCGGGCTATACTCCGAAGACCCATCCAAGTCTTCCCCTGCCGTGAGCAATATGTCCTCGACGATGCGTTTGCTTGCCTCCCGCGCTTTAAATTGTTAGTAACTTGTATCGCTGCATAAAGGGAGGAATAATATATATAAAGAATAATATATATAAATCACTTACCAGGCGTCTGCAGCAGTTTAGACGGTGGCATAGCGAAATTGATGGTTTTGGGCGGGCTCATGCCACCATACAAGTCGTCACCATCTTCGTCGCTGCTTTCCCATGCGATCTCGTCTGGGTTGCGCTTCTTCTTGCCGGTCTCGGTTCTCGTAAAAGGCGCTTTGGAATGTGATTTCTGATCCATCTCTGTCGACCCAATATCGTCAAACATAATCTCCCTGGGCTTAGTCCGCGCCGGCGTCTGCACGCTCACGCCGGGCGTCCGCGGGCCGGACACAGCCGTCGCCAGCTTGTTGCGGTAGGCCGCGCGCATAGGCGACATAAAGGCAGCGCTACGCAGCTTCGGCACAGCAATCTCCGGCGACGACATAGGCGACGACTCTTGCCATGCTGGCCGCTTGGCCTTCTCCTCGTTGTGTATCAAGTTCTGTCGGCCAGTCGGCGGTCGGTCTGTGACCTTTAGGCGCATGGGCGAGATGCCTCGGGCCGTGTTCTTGTGCGGTGTCGCCTGGATTCGGTAGTCTTTGCCCAGTACGCGGTGCATCAGGGGGTCCTTTTGGCGCCGGCTATTAGCCTGCTCGTCCTCGAGGGCCCGCCGATTGCGTTCGTCGAGCGACTGTCGCGGCGTCATGGACATGTTGGGAAGGCGTGCTGTGCGCTGGGCGAGCAACTCCGAGTCCGCTGCGGATGAGTCGTCACGGTGGTCGTCCTCCACGTTTTCATTGTCGTTGAACCGCATCATCGTGCTCTCGTCACTACCCGCGTCGGCCATTCTAGCATCTGAGAGAGGTGCTCGCGGCCGCGATCCGGACCGCGAGCGCTGGCCCCCACCGTTCGCGTCTGTGTCCGGCCCCCGGTTCATCTCCCGTCGTAGGTTTTCATATGGCGAGTCCAAGTCGGCAAATTGCGGGTGCAGTGACGTCGTGGCCGGCGGGCGAGGCGTGCTCCCACTTAGATCGCCGTCGCCGTCGGACAGAAGAGATTCGTCGCGCGTGTTGAGGTGTGTGGATGTCTGGACGCCATCTTCGTCGTCTCTCGGATGGGTAGTGTAGTCCGTTGTAGTATCGTCGTGTGTATCTGTTGTTGTCGTCTCCTCGACACCCGTGGATCCTTCATCGTTTGCGAGCTCCTCGTAGCCGGATAACGACACGTTCGCAGCGGCCTCGAAGAATTGTTTCCAAAACTGCCAAGCTTGTCAGCAACGATACTCTCCCCAAGAACCAAATGATCGTTCCGTCAATTCCTCCTACCTTGGAAGCATCCCATACGGATCTGCACTGCTCGCCGTATTGCTCAACCACAGGCAGGATGTTGCCCGTCACAATGCGATGCGCCCTGCTGAAGTTGTGGTCGATTTCTAGAGTTTGCAATTGTCAGCCTTATCCCACAATACCCCAGTCCCTTTTGTAACAGTCCCCTTTCGTCTCCCTACATACCTTGCAACGTCAGAGTGATGGACTGTTCCAGCTTCTCCAGTTCTTCCGTCGTGGAGAGCGGCCGGTTTGCCAGCGAGCCGCCGAGTCCGGCCATGTTTATGCGCAGGCGTTTTGTTCGGTTCTATAGTATATTTCCACGCTCCGAAAGGTCTATGCAATTCAAATAAAACAGGTGCGCAGGTTGTCGTTTGCGATGCGTGACGTTCGTTGCGCGCTGGAGGAGAAGTAAATAGATTTTAATATGAAGCGCGTTCATAGACGCGTTTTGGCGTGCGGGGCAGTGGGTGAGGGTCGCTAACAAACCACTGCCACTCCCCTATTAGTGGGGTATTGGTCAGGCTCTACTAAACCATTCAGCAGAAATACTCCCTATGCGCCGTAGCATAGACGACATATCACACAAATACTAAAATAAAAAACGAAAACTTCGCATCGTCTTGCTCAATGCAAGGCCAGCAGAACCAAATTGAACAACGTTTTCGCGAATGCCCAAGATTTCCTCAGTGTCCTCTACCTGCCACGGCCCCGTGCTCCACGCCCTCGACCACGCCCACGTCCCCGAGCCGCGCCACGGCCTCTTGTTCCCCCACGAGCTGCTTTTTGTGGAGGAGCTCGTGTCCTTTTGGTTGTGGGGGGCTCCTCCTTCTCCTTCTCCTCCTCCTCCTCCTCTTCTTCTTCGTCATCATCGTCATCGTCGTTGTCGTCTTCGTCGTCCTCCTCCTCGCCGTCCTCCTCATCCTGCTCTTCGTCGTCTACTTCCTCGCCTTCGTTTTCCTCGTCGCCTCCACTTCCGCTCTCGTCCTCTTCGCCAACTTCTTCTTCTTCCTCCTCCGGCCCCTCCTCCTCCTCTTCCTCGTCGCCGCCTCCACGCCGGGTTGACGGTTTCTTTGCCTTGGATGCTTCGCGCTTTCCTCTCCGTGTGCCCCTTCCTGTTGCGGCGGGTGATGGCACAGACGATGCCAGCTCAAAACTGTCCACCGTCGATGACCGCATCCGCAATACCGACATATCGCCACGCTTCCGTTTTATAGCACTCGATTTGGAGGTGGACGCCGGTGCAGCAACCGATTGGCCGCCCGAGGCAGCCCCACCGCGTGACGTTGGCGCTGGTGATTCCGGGCGCCATTGTGCTGGTGACGAGGCGGCGGAGTCGTCATCCTCGTCCGCCAGAGCGCGCTCCATCATGTCGTCGCGGAAGTCAACCAGAGGCAGACAAAACTCTTTGAAGCGGGACTCGACGTCGGCTTCTTCGACGTAGTCCAGCGAGTTGTCGCGGTCGTTGATCGTTTCGAGCTCGTACTCTGCCGCCAGCTCCTTCCAAATGCCTGGGATGCGCGTGTGCTGGTAGACGTCCGGATCGAACCCGCGACAACGTAAATGTTCGGAGATGGCAATCATGCGGAAGTGTCTGTGCATGCCTGTATATGTTAGTCGGCCATCTCTCAACGGCTTGATTTTCTTGTCTCCCAATCCTGCCGTTGCAAAACCTCACCTGAAGGCTTCCACCGTATGACGGCCGAGAACAGCCCTGCTTTCTGCTCGGATGTCCAGCAGCTCTGGAGCACGTCATATATCGGCTTGTCAGGTGGCGCAGACGCCGCGGGCGTTTCCGAGGCCTGGGGTGTGTCAATGTCCATCGCATCGTCGTCACGACTGGGTGTGGCAGCGGATTGCACCGCGCTACCGCGCCCGCGCTTTTTCGGTGGCATGGTGTTGGCGCTGTCGTATGTCGTAAACGTAGTTCATAGGATCAGCTACAACTCAATTGACATTTGTCCGCGCAGCAAGCAGTGGTCGAGGGTGGTAGGTCAAGAGGTGTGAGGTATCTGTTGCAGGATGGAAAAGTATAAAGGACTGGAGCTTTCTGCTATTGACCATGAACAAAAGCCCTTTTGGCGGCGCTGATAGGCGGACGCTGTTAGTTAAATTTTTGGTACGAAAGGCCACACATACAGGGGTTACTAACGGTTGCACAGCGAACGCAGCCGTCAAAAGCACGTGTCACAGCGTCCAAACAACGCGCTTTTGGGCGGCGACGCGTCCACAATTTGGACCATAGCCTTTCAACGTCACTTCCTAAACCGGTATCATGTTCATAGGCCACGAGGCTGCACACTCCATAAGCGCGCCGATGACAGCGTCTCAACACATCATAGTATGAGACAAACTGGTCTACCACCCATAAAGCCATGGCAGACACCGACAACGCCGACCTCTTCGCCATTCCCGACTTCTGGAAGCTCTCGTCATGGCAGCAACAACCACCGCCACTAGCTGCGGAGGAGAGACAAAATGGCTTCTTCAGCCTCGATGTGAACGGTATGCATATTGATATAGTGGCTGCAGTACTTTGTGATGGCAGTATTTGAGGCTGACTTTAATGCAAAGGCGACGGGGGGATCACCTTCTTCCTCGGTACGGACGAGCCAGAGCTGCCGCCATGCAACGATGACGACGGTGGCCTCTTCAAGATCCCACATCTACTAAACCAGCTCCTGCCGAGTGTTCCAGAACAGACACTTGATAAGCAGGACACAAGCTCGGTTACAGAACCCATTGCAACGCCCTCGTCTATTGTCGACGACTTCTGGCTTCTACCTGACGACAGCGTTCGGCCACCTCCGCCGGCTGAATTCAAATCGTGGGCATCGTTTGAGCATGTTGATGTCCCCATCCAAGCTCCGATATTCGCGACAGAACAAGGTCCTAGGTTTGTCGACGCAATTGTTGCTGAACACAGCGACTTCATACGCCCTGCGTCATCGTCCGAGACAAATGCTGGCGAGGACGAACAGGACCCGGCGATGCTGGACACGCGCGAATACTGCGCTTGCCTTCTTGCATTAGCCTTAGGACGAAGTTCGATCTTGTTCTCGTGGGACGATGGGAAACGGGCGTTCCTTCCCATGGTCAATTCCGCGAGAATCTCAGGATTCTCTGCACAAGTACTGCGAAGCGCTGAGAGGGACTGCCTCGAATGCGGAAACGACAGCCGTTATCTGAGAGCCTTTGTCGACCACACGTATACAGCCGCGGCTTCAACAAACTCTCCTTCAAGAGTGGCCCTCGCACGAGGCGTGGACAGCCTCCTCCTCACCATCCAAAGCGAGCTTGGCACCCGTGGCCAGAGGGCACACTCACTGCTCCAGTTGCAGGCGCTTGTGCGGCCCGTTGCCTCTCTCGTCAAATTCATACGCGGGCTCGTGACAAAGCTCTCACGCGCAACAACTTCTTCAAGAACCACTGACGAGCATTTTTTGACGATGCTGTACCAAGAGACACAGTCCATGGAGTACAGCGTTGTCTTTATGCGTGATATCATCAAGCAGTTGCTTCAGCTCGTCTCGGAACCTTGGCTACTCTTCGTGAGCGAATGGATTGGGTTGAGTCCCAGAAGCAAGGCTACACTTTGGACGGGCGAGTTTCAAAGCAAAGGATTCGTTCGCCTAGACGACCGGGTCTGGATCGACGACATGGGTGCGGAGTTGGCCGAATCCGACTACTTCTTTGACGAGGAACGGATGCCGGCTTTCATTCCAGCGGAAATGGCCAAGAACATCTTTGAAACAGGTCGCAATCTACGATTTCTGTGGACAAATCATCCCGAACATCCTTTGTCCAATCCCTCTACGGTTCTGATTGCTCGTCCTCCAGCACTCAGGTGGCAATTTGATTGGGATTCCATCCACGCACTGGATCGCAAGGCTCTTGCATATGAGAGAAATTTGTTGCAGTCTCTTGCTGCAAGTCGATATGCTTCAGTGCAGCTTGTTCTACCAACACACCACCATCCAGGTACGGTTGGTGTCACACCAAGTGGAACGGAAATCAACTGGCGTTTTCCTACGGTTGAATTTCAGTTCTTTGGGAAGAGTGAAGACCAGATTGAGCAGAGTCTGAAAGCATCCATAAGACAACTCGGCGAACCTCTCCCAAACCCATCAGAGGACGGCCTCGCCGCCGTTCTCCGTCGTCAGCTATTCGAAGATGGCCAAGATTGCGCAGCCGACATGGCAGCTTTAGATGAGTCTGCACCGCATTGGTCTCTTCTACCACTACTTTCATTTGGGCCAGCTATAGCTGCACAGTCTCGCCATATCAACCGCGAGTGCATGCGGCTGCTATTTGGCGTACACGGTGTCCGAAAACACATCGAACTTCAGCGCGAATTTCAACTCCTTGGCAATGGCATGTTTTGCAGCAGGCTGTCGCATGCTCTTTTCGACCCGGATCAGGCCGGTGCCGAGCGAAGCACCGGTATTGAGCTGTCGAGCGGCGGACTTGGATTGCGGCTGTCGAGCCGCAACGGCGAGAACTGGCCGCCTGCAAGCTCTGAACTTCGACTGGCTCTGATGGGCGTCCTTGCCGAGAGCTACTACCAGGGCAGGAAGAGTGAAAGCAATGAGATTCCAGCGAGTGCTGGCGCAGGCGGCAAGCATGAATTGCCTGGCGGGATGAGCTTCGCGGTACGTGATCTCTCCGTCGAGGAGATGGACCGGTGCATGGATCCAGACTCTCTCGAAGCACTGGATTTCCTCCGACTGTCGTACAAGCCACCTTCAGCGCTCTTGTCTATCATCACACCAGATATTCTAGCAAAGTACGACCGCGTGTTTCTACTCCTCCTACGCGTGCTGCGCATGTATTACTTGGTCAACCAGCTATTCGAGGACGACTTACAATCGCGGGTGCGCAACAGAGCGCCTCGACCGGGCCCTAGCCGAAACAAGAGCTATTTTGGCCATGAGGAGAATGTGTGCATGCGCTTTCGGATCGAAAGCCGGCAATTTGTGGCCAACATCATGGCCTATTTCTTGACCACGGGCGTTGATACGCCATGGAAGCGGTTCGAAGCATGGCTCGACGATGTGCAGCAAGGCCTAGCGGAACCGGAGCAGGAGCAGGGAACAACAACTGCAACCAACTCTGCACAAGCAGACCAAGCAAGCCCCGACAAGCTGCGCGAGCGTCACGAACAAGCACTGGATGAGATCATGCTCGCATTGCTGCTCCGCAAACGGCAGCAGCCACTGCTCTTCCTGCTACAGGGCATCTTTGGCCTGATTCTCGAGTTTGCCAAAGGCTCACGCGAGCTATCTCGAGCCGAAGGTACGGGCATTGGAGGACACAAGAGCAGTGAAGATGCCGCGCTCGGAGCGCTGCTCACGGCGCACCAGGTCAAGGCCAAGAAGCTCTATGCGTCGTTCCGCAAAAAGGTGGCTGCGTTCCTTGCGGTGTGCCGGGGCCTAAGTGAGAAGGAGGCGGACAGCGTGGCGCGCAAGGACTACCAGCAGCAGCAAGAGTACCAGGACGGATCGAGGGCGGGCGAGGGCAGTTCGCTGTCCAAGCTGTTGCTGATGCTGGACTATAACGGGTCGTATTCGTCGTCGCGGACGCAGTGGTAAGGCAAAAGACCCAGACCGGGATGCCAAATGGCCAGAATATTGTCTATATATACGAAGACATGTCTCCGGACTACAATTATACATGCGCGCGCGGGAACATGCGATGCTATCACGATACATACACCGTTCACATGGAGCAAACACCGTCGTCTTCTCCGCACGCAAACAAGCCACAGATCTTCCCCCTCCCGTCTCCTCCCAAGATCCAAATGCTATATCCCATGGCTGTGATCCACAGCGGCACACAAAGTAGGCACACGGAGCACACAACAAGACTCCACAGCTCATCACCAACTCCCTAGAATGGGGGTGAGGGCCCTCTTCTTTCTCCTCACGGCCCCCTCTCTTTTGGTTTCTTTGGGTCTTTAGGGTATTTTAGGCCAGGCCCAGTGTCATGTTTAGGGCCCGCGAGCTCCCCTTTTACCCCAAATCTACAAATCTGCGAATCTCTGGCTGGAGTGGCAGCTGAAGGTCCCAGCTGATGCCCCTCCCCAGAGCCCAGATAGAAAAGCTGTCAAGTGCAAGGTCCCCCTCTCATCTCCACTTCCCGTGCGGCAGCCTTTCGCGAAGGGATGGAAGGAAAAGCGAAGAACAAAAAATCGGAACCTCCCTTGTTCAAGGCCAGGGAGCACAGGACCCTCTGCAAAAATAACAAGCATAACTTGCAAACAGCGAACAACCGCAGAAAAGACGACTGAGGATTGCAACCGACCAAAACGACGACCATGCCTAATCCACCTCCTAGTTGCTCACACCTGCGGCCTTTTGCAAGAGTCCGAGAATTGCCGGGGAAATCCAAACGAGCAGAAAGAAAACCGCACTGAAAAAAGAATAAAAAAAATTAGTATCGGCCCTCGCTATGCGCGCGATCTCAAACGCCCCTTCTTTGCACTGCCAAAGTCCGTCAAATTTCACGCAAAGCTTTTTAGTTCTTGGCTCATCTCTCCTTTTTGGCTATCCTCGCTGGCCAGGCGCTAAGGAAAAACAAAAGGAGTGCTAATTTCCTTGTCGTCCCGGTCGGCTTCCAAGCGAGCGTGCCAACCGCCCTTTTTTTGACTCTCCTCCCTTGCATAGGCGCCCTGGAACGTCTTGTCCGAATAGGAAAGGGACGGCGTGCTCGACATGGAACGAACACTTTTCCTTGTGTGGTTTGTGTGTTGTCCTGATGTGTCTTGACGCGCCTAGGAAATAATCGCCCTCCTCTTTGCTGTTGCCTTGTTATTTCTTGAGGAAAACGAAAGAACCAGTGGCCAAGAGTTATGGCAGAATCTAACAAAATCGATTCAATCACATGCGGATCTTGCGGGTATTGCCTATCTAGCAGGTATTGTGTTGGATTCCACTCTTCCTGTTCTGGCTCATAATGGGCGAAGGAGACGACGAGGAAATAAAACATGCAACGGAAGCGGACACACGATAATCACTGAAGGCAATGCAAAGTAAATACTCCGCACGCTCGACACTACCAGTTCTCGGACGGAAATAGTCCGTACACAAATCGTCCGTCGTCGTCCGCGTGTTTCTTTTCCAACCCTTTCCGGCGGTATCGGCGATCTCCATTGGGGGGGATATGCCCGCCCTCGTGCGGTATTCGGGCTGGTGACAAAAAAAGCACAAAATACGGAATGGTGCGGCCTGTTGCTCTCGTTTTTATCCACAGCGAACAAACGGAGTATATCACGACGTACAGAGTAGTCTATTTGATCAGCAACGCAATAAACAGCAGAGCAGGTCAGTACGCCTCGTTGGGAGCGAGGACAAGCGACCGGAACGATTATGGGCCTGGCCGGGGTGTTTATTCGGACGGATTTATTGAATTCTGGCGGGAAATACGGCGTACAGGACTCGACAGTCCGCTGTGACGCGGACATAACGAGCGTCTTGGAGAAATTGCACCTCTCGTTTTCGATTTCCGCATTGAGTAATTTACCTGTGGCACTAAACAAAACGCACCATGAGAAGGTAACCGATTGATACCGACGATGTATTACTACCGAACAGAAGCACGAAGCAAGCACGTCTGCACGTCTGTATGAATCTGTATCAACACAAACTCGGCCAATGCTGGGCTCACACGTATAAAGTGACGGCCAAGCCAGGTTTAGAAAACATTGACCTTGCACTCCCTCGTCCTTTTTTTTTTTTTTGTAATTCCTCCTTGAATCGAACTTCCGCTCTCGTCCTTGTACATATGCACGGCCAGCCAAGCCAAGCCAAGTTGAGCTCCGGCGGCTTCCATCAGAGCGATTGGGACAACTTTTCAGTTCAGGAGGACCGCATGCTTCAATGTTGGGTAGATACGCTGTATATTTTGGCAGCAAGTCAAATTCGACAAACTCGGAATGAACCTTTTCAAAGCTGTTTCGACCTTTCTTTAAAGTCAACAGGTGGAAGAAGGAAATTTAGAAGAAGGGAAGAAAAAGACATACCACATGCTGCGTGGTCCGTCCTCCGTCAAACAATACAATGTATTGCAACACAACCACAAGAACCGTGAACCGTGAATCCCCGCCCACCAAACTCCCCCACGCTGTTCAACCATCTCCCGGGCTTGCCAACACATACACTTGTGAAGTTGTGCTTGCTTTGTAGCCTTGTTGACTTGTCCCGTCTGCTCTCGTGCACTGCATCTTGCAGGGCCCAATGTCGGCCAGCTGCAGAGACATGGACAACGGCAAGCTGCAACGGCAATCGTGGACCGGCCGCCGGCATTGGCTGAACAGTGGAGGCGGAAGCCCACCAAGCCATGGGCCACAGCGCTGCCCACAGGAGCCCACACAGGGGCGGCAATTCAAGTGGTGGTTAAGCCCAACGACCTCAACGCCCAACGGTTGGGTGTAGGTGACTCGTCTGTGGTTCCGCTGCCTTGATTTCTTCCCAACCCGTCCATCACTCTGATTTACTGGCGAGTTTACAGAATAGGTAAGTCACCGACAAGGAAAGTAATTGGCTCGCCAGTGTTCCAAGAGGAAAAGAGAAAGAAACGAAAAAGAAATGACGGGTTTTCTATTTCCGCCATGGGCAGGGTCTCTGTGAAATGCGTTCTCTACAATGTAAAAGGACAATGAACAGGCCATGGCAGGCTTTAGTTAACCGATTGGGCTGGAGATGTTCAATTTACAGGACAAGCCAGGCCACTTTTGGATAAACTTGGGGAAATCAAAATATGACGGGTTGGAAAACTGACCTCAGCTGAGCTGGAATAAGAGAGACACAGCCGGCTTGCCCTTCTGAGCCATCCCGGCACAGCACAGTTTCAAAGCCCTTGCTCCCAAGACGACGGAGAGTGGTGCTGAAGACGCCAAACTGTCTGCTGGTCCACTGGTTGAACTTTGTTGGAACGTCTTGGATATTGAAAGCGCCACCAGGGCCATCACAATGTGATTCGCGAACAGGTCGACCATCAATCCTGTCTCAACAGGCCCTATGAGAGGCGTGATATACTTTCGTACATTCTCGGGAAAAGACATTGAAAGGCCTAGTATTCCAAATGCCGTGTTGGTAGCAACAGGTCTCTCTCTTCTCCACTGTATTATCTCATCTTCCCTGGCTCAAGTGTGGAGTAGGTCGCATTGTTACAACAGCTTCAAGCAGCACTTCAGTCCCTACGTTTTTGTTGGTTGCCTCCGTTCTGCAGTGCGACATATTTGTCGTAGAGTATTTAGGGCGGTGGACGACGGGTGTCGTGAGTGTGAGGGTGCTTGCGGCCTGACAATTTTCCCTTTTCGTTATATTTATTTCCGGTACGAAATAATACTTCTCGGGTTTTCCGTCCGTGCTGTCAATCTTTCAGTCGCTTTTTCAGTCACGCTTCACACCATCTCGTACGCCGCCCCCTACCAGAGATGTCGCCTGGCACTGCCCTCTCGTTTTCATAGTCTAATTTTATTTGTCACCGGGCGCGTGAGAATATATGGTTCAATGTCCAAGACGCTCAATGGCGGCTAAAAAAAAAACACGAATGCTGGTAAGAAAAGCGGCCTGGAATCTTCTGCTGTTGATTTGTGGCCATGTTGGAGTGTCGTTGGATACACAATGTCCGTGTACATGTCGGGACACCTGTTCCCCGAAAATCAAGGGCGCCGCATTTGTACGCGCGAGAGCAACAAGACACGTCTGTCTGCACATGAGTGGGCGCTCATGCAACCGGCCTGGTGCGGCCCAATGGCCGTGTCTGGATATTCTTTTTCTTTCCACACCAACTGCCCGGGCTTCCCCTTTCTCACTTCTCTTTTCTCCTTTCTGTCTTTCGGTTCCCACCCTTTCGGACCAAATTCGGCGGTGGCCAAGGCAGCATCGGATGCCTCTTCCCATCTACATCGTACTTCTGTAAATACCTGTTGTTCCCAGCCGGTGGTGTGCTCGTCAATTTCGTTTTTTGCTGCCGCATTTGAATAACCTTCACCATAATTCGTAGTTCGCCGTTCATGCTTCACCGTGGCTCCCCTTTCTCCAAAAATGGATCTGACCACATCCCAAGCTCCCCTGTTTCTTTTTCTTTGCAAAAAAGACCTTTTCCAACTTGGGGAAACAGCTCATGTGGATATCGCACGTCCTTGCTGTCTTTGCGATAGCGCTACGAGGGGGCCATTTGCAGAAAAGGGGTGGGACAGTGGCCACAGCCCCCCTTCTTTTGCCATGTTCCGCGGCAAACCCACTCACGCTGCCCAGAGTCTCGGGAACCGTCGAGGAGCCTGTCCACCCCTTTTCTCTTTTCTCCTTTCGTGGTAATCCAAATGTGCAAATGTGCTACGGGGTACAAATACGGAATACTCGACCTGTTTATTGGTTTTGAGGTGCCCACACAAAGTACGATCACATAAATATGTTGTATGTTTACATGCTCCGGATATGGGACGAGATCCATCTCACAACTCTGGCCTACTATTCCTTTCGACCGCTCGCACGAAGATGGAAGGCAAAAAAAAGTACGGAGCCATACGACATACAAAATGAATACCTGTGAACGACTCCGTATTTGCGGTTGATTCCGTGCACGG